CATCTGAACAAATTGTTCGCTATCATTATGGTGTTTGGAATAAAGTACAATTAAATTATAGTACAATTAAAAAAGAAATTTTATCTACTGTCTTATGTATTCAAAAATTTCAAGATGATATTTTAAATCAAAATTTTTTACTTCGTGTTGATTGCAAATCTGCTAAATATGTTTTGGAAAAAGATGTTCAAAATCTTGCTAGTAAACAAATTTTTGCCCGTTGGCAATCCATTCTAAGCATTTTTGATTTTGATATTACCTATATACCTGGTTGTCAAAATTCCCTACCTGATTTTCTTACCCGGGAATTTTTACAGGGGGGTAAGGGATGACTGCACCATTTACTTCTTACCATAAATCCCGAATTACCTATTTCAAAACCCAAATTAAACAACTTACCCATCGTATTCACCGCCTCAAATTAACCAGACCAACCACCAAAAGAGCCCAATATATCAATTACCATCAACTTCAAGCCCGTCGCAATTTACTTGCTCACAACTACAACTGCTTACATCGTCATCAAGATTATTTAGATCTTCTTTCTGGCTGCTAACCATTATTTCTTTCTCAACAGATGTCTCGTCCAAGGCCTCCCTCCAAGGCTTTGGTCCCATCTTCTAGTAAACCTAATCAACTTATTGTTCCTCCTCCTTTGGAGTCAATTACCCAATCTCATTCACTTGAAATGGTTAATCGTTACCAAACTCTTGGTAATATTCACCGTCCTGACTATTCATCTGCTTTGGCCTCTGATCCTTTTGCATCTAGCCAATCAGTTTCAGTTACTCCATTCCCAGTTAACCCCATTAAACCATCCCGATCTGAATACACTAATTCACATGTTACTAACCTGTTCTACAAAGAACCCAGTCACCCAAAAAATCAAACCATCAATGAAATTGCTAAATTCCATTTTGGTTCTGGATGCCATTTCACCTTTTCACATCCAAAAAAAATTCTTTCCTATTACAAAGACATTCTACTCCATCACCATTCAATTTTGATCAAGCCAATCCAGGATCGCACCTATGCTTACAAGATCTTATATCATTCAATTTATATTCACAACATTGTTTCCATGGCTGAATGGGGAAATCCTAATCAGCTTCGTGATTTACCCGGTCATTCCATTCAATATAATTACCATGATTACGTTGATGCCTGGTTCAAGATTTTCTTATACCAAAATGAAAATTTCAGTCATTCTTGGTTCATCTCATTTGATCAAAAGTTCAAATCTGAAATTCCTACCTGGTTTCTGAGAGGGTGGACTCATTATGGCGCCATTTCAGATATCCTCCCCATTGATCTCAGTGAAATAATTAATTATTTTGCCACTGTTTACCCGTTCACTACTCACCAACGACAATTTCCATTATTGTTAATTTTTATTTCCAAATACAAAATTCCATGGATATTCAAATGGCACTATGGGATTGATGATAACATCATCATTCGACAACACACAGTCAAATGGTGGGTTAAGTTCAATGTACCCAGAATTCTTGAAATTGTTCAAGAGGAATTCCCACCTGATCAATATGCTCCAACTCCTATTCTTGCTAAAGCCCAGCAGAACCCAACAGCTGCAATTACCCACGGAAGTCAGCCCAGTCTTCCTCCAGTCAACCTTGGCAGCCCTTCATCCAGTGGTTCCAAGCCCAAATCAAAGTCTAAAGCTGTTGCTGCCCAACCAGCCCAATCAAAGCCCAAATCAAAGTCCAAAGTAAAGACAAAGCCCATTTCACCTCCTACTCAGCCCAAAGTCAAGTCCAAGAGTAAATCCAAGTCATCCAAAGAAGATATGATCCAGTTAGCCCATCAACTTTTGAATCAAGCTAAAACCCAATCCACCGATTCAGACAGTTCAGAAGAAGGTTCAGAACATGCTCACTCCTCTGAAGAATCAACTAATCAATGTTCAGGGCCCGAGTTTCAAGATGCCCAGGACCCGTTTGCATAATCAACATTGGATTCTATATAGATACAAATTAGCTTCAATCAATACTCTTTTGAGAAAAGCTGCCAATTTGTATTTATATTGATTCACATGTTCCACCGAAAGTGATGAATAGTAAAAGTTACTGTTCACTTTTACTGTTCACCGTCACTATTCATCCAATCAACTTTTGTTTAAAGCTACTCAACTATTCAATCAATCAACCGAAAGCAACCGACAGCATCTGCTTTGCCCCATGCGCTGCCAGCTGCTTTCATCAGTCAAATGTTACTTTTCTTTTCTTTATTTTGTATATAATGTAATCAAGTTGAACTCATTCGGCAGACTTGGAAATTCTTAGAAACCAACATTCTGAAAAATCCAAGAGCTTTGAGTGAAAACCAACATTTTGTGCTGTAACCTTGCAGTTTCTGCTATTGTAAGTTAATTAAATGTTTTAATGTTTTAAATATGTTTTAAATGTTTTAATGTTTTAAATGTGCATTCCAGTTTCGATCTGTTTTGTTTTCAAGTATTTATCTTTTTGATTTCGTAATCCATCTCCTTCATTCCTATATGCTGCTTTCGCCTTTTTTTTAATTGTTCAAATTTTGGAGCGTGACAATTTACCTCATAACCAAATCAATCTGGTCCATGAACACCCTTGCAGCATCCATGCAGTGTCATAGTCCACAAATTCCTTGTGGCAATCCTCTCATCTCAACCCTCACTTCCTTCCACAATCTCCTAGTGGGAGCTTGGTTGTCACCTCCCCAACCTTAGGTTTCACCTCCAGCCTTCTCTGCTCAGCCTTACAATGGATTTAGATAAGATCCACTAAAGAGCTCTAAAGTTGAAGAATCAATAATCATTCTCTCGAGGAAAAATGTTTGGGAGCACTAATTAGTGCTCCCACTAATTAGGTGGCAGTGGGTCCCGCCATTAATGATATGATGTTTTGATCTTGGAGTTGTGTTTTTTTTTTTTTTTTTTTTACTTTTTGAATGCATTAGTGCTATTAGTGGTGATATTTTTAGTGGGATGAATCATTGTTGTTCTCTCGAGTGTCCAAGAGAGTATTTTAGTGTTAATTGTCAACTTTTAGCTGGGAAAATAATTTCCATTTTCATCTTGCCAACAATAGTGAAAGTGGATTATGCTCTCATTCTTATGCTGAGTTTTTGGAATCGAAATATGTTATCAATGTACATTATAATATCAACACAACTTATGAATCATTAACTGCAATTAATTCGAAAGCAAAGAACTCGTCAAAGAGTACTCACTCAATTCAGTAGTAATAATCCCAACCTTCTAGTTGAATATACAAACTTTAAAGAATTTAGACATGAACAAACAAAAAAACAGAGACTGCAGTACATTTGCTTGAACACCATCTTTGTAGTAATCCCTCCAATTGGTGTTTGATACTAGGTTTTGAATAATTCTTAACGTTACTTGATATAATTTTTTTTTTGTTGATAAATTACAATCAGAGTTTCATAATTAATGTAGAAGAATTGCAGTGTTATTTTTTATTACCTCTTGGTGATTAGCACCAATGAATTATACAATGTAATTCACAGAATAAGTTACCAGTGTTTCTTAAAACTAGAAAAAGTATTGAAAATTTAATGACTTTAGGGATTTAAGTCAAGTGTCACGTCTAAAGTAAGAAAAGTTTGTATAGTATCACTAAGTCACAGCAGCACCACTGGTTCCCTTTATTTTGGGTAGGTCCATACAGTAAAAAGTTATATACTTATATATGAGCTTCTTGTTTTATTTACTTGTCCACTTCTATTTTTTATTAGTATCAATCCAAGTCAAACATAGGTGGATTTGCACTTGTGTATGAGTTGGCTTGCATTCTTGTAGTTTACATGGATTGAACAATGTTTGTTTCAGGCCACATAGAGAACATTTTTTAAGGGATGTGTTTTATTTTCATTCAGCAAGTCACAATCAATCTATGCAGCCTTGTTTTCAGTTAGTGGTAATATTTATCGTCTGTTTAGTTTATGTATGATACTAGATTATCTATCTGATCAAGTAAAATCACCAGATTGTACTGAGAGGCTGAAAGTTTATCTTATGAATTGCCTTTGAAATGCAATTTAAAAGGCCCCAGGATAAGAATATCCAGTTCACAATATTTGAGCCAAATGCGGGATAATTTCATCCTGTGATCATTTAATTCTCTTCAGCCCCCTTTCCGATAAAATAAGAGGTGATAAGTAATAACATGGTATAATGGATTAAATTATATGTACCATAGGATTAGTTGTACCATGTTCGGTTAGGGTGGAATTAAGGGGGAAACAAAAATATTTGACCGTTGGAGGAGGAACGAATATAGTCCGTGGAGGAGGTGAGAGTAGTTATACCCCAACCCATACCAAGGGTAACAGCTAAACCTGGGATTACCTTGTTTGAAGCAAAAATGGACAGGCTGGTTATGGGGGGGACAAATGACCTCAACTGAATTAAACCTTAACATGTGTAAGCAACTGCTACAGAATCAGTTATACCTTACCTGCTTATGCTAATTCCTTCTCATTCGCTTGGATTAAATGATAATCCGGCGAACACGTTTGAACTGTATTATGCTGAATTTTTTATATTTGATTCACATAAATGGGAGTGACAGATGCTACCCAAAATAAAATCATGAAAAGGGCACGGCTTAAATTGAGTTTGAAGAATTTTAAAATTGCGTAAATTTGATATATATGTATATAAACCTTGATGATTCACCCCTTCCATCCCAGCAGGGTCTAGATGCTGTCATGGTCCACAAAATCTTTTGTGGTAATCGAAAGTTACCCTCGACTCTCCCTCCCTTCCACAATCTTCCTGATCCAGTGGGAGCCTGTGTTTTACCTCCTCAACCTTAGGTTTCACTTCCAGTCCCCTCTGCTCATGCTCACAATGGATTTGGATATAAGATCCACCAAAGGCTCACTAAGGATTGCCAAAGTAGATAGAATCAATAATTATTCTCTCGAGTGTTCAAGTTAACTGAAATTGAAAGAGGTTATCAATCTACATTACAATATCAACACAACTTATGAATCAACTCCAATTATTCAAAGAATCTTACAAGACAGAATCTAGCTAGCAGTTGCAAGGCCTACCAACAAACTCTCTTCAAGAATACAACTCCGCTCAACTCAAGAGTTTTGGTCCAACCTCCTTGTTGAATACAAACTAAAACAAATAAACATAAACAAACCAAAAAAACAGAGACTGCGGTGGTGCACAGAAAAGGCATTAAACAAATCTCTATTAAACACTAGATATCGAGTACATTCCTAGAAGAAACAGGTAGCAGGAAGTGCAAGGGCATTACAAGACCAACGAGCTATACATTACTGAATTCGTGGATAGTAGCATAGCACCATGATTCAACGGCTCTAAACACTAACCAGAATTGCACTTTAATTTATTTTTTTTTACCGCTCCTTGACAGGTTTCCAACAAGACAGAGCAAACATGATTCGACCCTTCCATCCTTGCAGCAGCCACTTACCGTCCTCATCCACCACGAAATTCTCGTTGTAATACAACTTCACCTTAGTCTTCACCTCTGTCACGAGCTCCTTGTTCAGCTGTAGCTGCCTGAACCCGGCTCGCGTATTCCTAACTTGCCACTGCTTGTATGTCTCCGGCCTCTCAACCCTCTCTGTACCTTCACACGCTATGACGTTCATAACATCCCTTCCAAGGATCTCCTTCTCATACAACATCCTACCCTGATCTTCGCGTGGTAAAGTGGTCTCAAACACATCAAATCCTGCGGAGAAGTGGAAAAGTGCCTCCCTAAATCGGGTTACAAAAAAGGGTGCGTTGTATGTCCCGTTGATAACTCCATGGATGAACATATCCGGATTGATCCTCTTCACCAAGTTGAGAACAGCATCACGCGGACTGCTCTCGACAACCGTCTCATCGGGTACGTTTCTTAGCCGGTACAAACAATTCACAACAAGTACTTCGTCTCTATCGATGTTGAGCTCCTCAAGTTCGATAGTGCTCCATTTCTTGGCTATTGCAGTGTACTCAAATGGGACATTAAATCTCTTGCAGTAAATCGCTAGCCGACGTCCTGTTTCCTCGACCCTTTCTTTTGGCCGAAAACCCGGTTGTGGAAAGTCAATTCCAGTAAATCGGAGCTTCTTCGGAGGCCCGCCTTCCCTAACGGAGAAATGCTGGATGAGGCAGGGCCATTGGAACCCATAAAGGACACCGAAATCAATTATGTGAAGCGTCTGTTTTGCATGAACCAGTGCCGCAATTGATTTGTTGGCAAACATATTGGACATCTTGTTGAAAGGGCATGCCTTCATAAAGACTTGGTAACCTTTCAAGATATCAGCAACTGATATCCTCTTGGTCTTAAAAGCGGCATACAATGATGTCCCGGTGCCAGCCAAGCGGGCCTCGAGCGCGTTGGCGAAGTAATAGGCCAACCTTTCGGTGCCATCGCCGGTTGGTGAAGCATGTTGCCTGATCCGATTCAGGAGTTCATTAGCATTCCTGATGTCTGCGTTCGCAACAGCTTGTGCACACTGAGATAGCAGAGTCCGCAAATCGATCACTTCCTTCTTGTTGCCCTGTTTTTTGCCTCGCCCCCTTCCTCCTCCGTTCGCTCCTTTTGCTGCCACCCCATTCTGCGGTGATTTCCTGCCTGCCACAATCGATGAGGCATCATCATCATCGTGCTCGGTGCATAGAAAGTGCAAGGGCTCGTCTTGATGCAAATGAGGATTCAAGCGAGGACAGAGTAACACCTTATCGTACAATTGATCATCGGCCTCTTCAGCAAAACTAGCCAATTGCTTGTTACTCCGGCCAGCACCGTCTGTGTAATCGGCGTCTTCTCGATTGTGCGTTTTCTTTTCCCTCGACCCGTGGGGCGGATGGTCCCCCTGGTTCTGTTCTGCACCCTCCAAAACCTTCCAAGTACTTTCCGATCTATAGTTCACATAATCTGTAGTTGGGACTAACTCTCCAAATTTTGCTTCTGATGAAATCTGAAATGGAAGAGAGTCAACTGACCCGTCTCCCGAGCCATTTGGAGAACTGATTGACTGCATGATGGACTCGAATGTGTACTCATCATAATAAGAGGGTTTGAATTTCTCCCGAATCCAACTGGACTGATCGATGAAATCGTTGACCGAAACAGAGCTGTTGCTACTGTCACTAGAGCATGTCCTCGGAGAATTATCATCTGAGCTCAGATGAGGCGGGTACTGTTTGCCGAGAACGTCATAGAACGATTTCTCGGTAGCTTGGAGAGCCAAGCAGTCTTGGTACATACAAGGTTTGTTCTCCAACCCATCTTCCATGAGCATCTGGCTGATCAGCTTAAGCGTTGCATCCGAGAAATCGCCTTCCTCGCCTGCATCGCCTTCCGAGCTGACAACCGATGTCGGCGGGGAAGGGGACGCATGAATTGCGTCCCCATCAACCAAATTGAAAGGAAGATCCGGGTAGGTATGATGATTTCGGTCCAGAAATGAACCAGTAAATCTTTGGATGAGTGCTTCCATGGACATCCTATCCGAGAATTTCAAGAAAAAAAGATCGAATTTTGATTTATGGGTTCAGAACACCTCAAAACAAGACACGATTAGGACAAAAATTTGGTATGGATTTACCAAGAATTTATATATATATATATATATAGATCCGATCTGATTGTGTGATTTGGGCGTTTATTCTTGTCGCAAGGCTCCTCCTCTACCGGTTGTCTCTACCCCTGCTTCGGAAGAGTAGAAGAGTATGAACCAAGTGGTCAGTCCATTTTACCTCTTTATAAATACCAAATAGAAAACAGTGTGTGTTGATTAATATGATGATTAAGCAATAGTAGCGAACTTTCCCGGAAAATGGATGGTCAAAGTGGGAGGGAGAGAAAATGGAAGAGGAGTTGTTTGAGCCGCTGATCGGTCGTGACGTCGGGGCCAGATGCTTTAGTCTCATTTGAGAGCAATTGTAAATCTTATCTGTAAGAATATTATTAAAACAAGCGTTTCTGTGGTGTCTGACGGAAGATCTTACGTGGCAATGTCCAGGTCTTGTTTAGATTAATCGATTGGAACAAAATCAAGAACAAGATATGGGAAGTAACAAAGCATTACTTTTTGTTGCGTTGATGCCGCAAATCTACTTCCTAGGCAGGTACTATTATTAGATAACTATTATTTTTTTGGTAAATAAAAAAAAAATCACAAATATAATTATTGAAATTTATTTAAAATATAAATTATTTTTTATAATTTAAAAAATTATAAATACCTCATTATTAAAATTTTTTATTTAACAGAATTAATTAAAAAAATAAAATTTTTAACTGTTCATCTATATAATAATAAAATTATTTAAATTATTAATAGAAATAAAATTTTAATATTATTAAAAATTATTAATTAACTTGATATTTATTAACACAAGGACCTATTTATTATGAAATTAGAAACATTAGAGGGTATGATGTAATTTCTAGAACTACATAAGGTATTTTGTAATTTAAATAAATCTCAAGGAGTGTGTTTATAATTTACCCAATAAAAAATTACAAGTAGATTATTATTTCCCTCAATTATTTAACAAAAGATGAGTAAATAATATAAAATAATGTTTTGAAATGACAGTAACCTCGCTTGGTGTAGCTGTTAAAACAGATTATAAATTATAATTTAACAGATTATAAATTATTACTTAAATTAGAAACTGTTAATATGTTTGGTGTAATTGTTAGATTATAGATTTAAGTTACTGATTAGTGTTTGTTAAATAAACTGTGCAACAATGATTCATCCCACTAAAATTATTACTTAAATTAGAAACTGTTAATATGTTTGGTGTAATTGTTAGATTATAGATTTAAGTTACTGATTAGTGTTTGTTAAATAAACTGTGAAATAGTTTTTTCAATTAATTTTTATTTTTTGTTATTCACTACTTGTCTATATTTCTCATAAAAAAAAAATAATAATCTATAGTCCATTTGAATCTTTTTTTTTTTTTTTAAAAAAAAATTAAGAGTATAACCGTAAATTAACATGCCCACAGCAGAAATTGATAATCAGAAGTAAGGGGTGAGTAACTTTTCAGAATCAACTTTTTTGAGTTAAAATAAATTGTTAAAATTAGAAACTATTTGAAATAAGTTTAATCAAACAATTTAAAATAACTTTTTGAAAATTAGAAGTTGTAAGTTAATTTAAAAAAGTCCAAACAAATGCGTCCACTGTTGTGTTAGGTGATTAAGTCTTAGTTAATTAATTTATAAATATAAATTAACATTTAACATGGCCTATTTTAAGAAGATGATTAAAAGTAATTTTTTAATTTTTAATTTATTTTAGATCATATCATTTTTCATAAATTTTATATGCTTTTTAGAAAAAATTAAAAAAATTAACTTTTAATTAAGGTAGACGAAGAAGTCATACTTATAGGAATTTTTGCATTTTTATTTTTATAAATTTAACAGATTCCTTCATTAAATGTAATGAGCACCACATTTAATGCATTGCACCAAGTACCAATATGCTAATTAAATTTTGTACAAAAAATTGTCAACCCTAGTTGGAAACAGCTTCGCCCCGATTTAAAATTAGATTAGATGCTGTTGCGGGGTTATGGTGGGCCCAACTTTGGCTTATTTTGATTATTCTAATTATTTAATAGATAAAACTTATTAAATATATTATTTTTATAAAAAAAAAATTACGTTGATTAAATATTGATAGTCATTTGATTAAATTATATTTGTTTCAAAAATTATGATTTTAAAAATAAATCGTTGATACAAATGCAATCTGATCGAGTGACTATCGATGTTGATCACATAATTTTTTTACAAGAATGATGTACTTAATGAATTCTATATAATTAAACAATTTGAATCATTAAGATGGATTTAAAATTGGGTTCACTGTAAACCAACAACACCGTCTAGTTTGCTTATAGACCAAAGAGAAATTGTTTCCTTTTTCAAAGGTAATTTATTATTTTTAGGTGTTACTTAGTTAAAAGATAGGGATCATGAAAAAACTTTCATGAAACTGATCATGAAAAATTTATGACCCTTAGATTACCTTGATTAGTGTGTGGTGTTTTATTTTAAGTGTAATTCAAGAGTCATGAATCTTTCATGATCATTTTCATGAAAATTTTTTCATGATACGTAGCATTGCTCTAGTTGTTAAGGTGATTCTTTATTTTAGGGCTTCCTTCAGCTTTTATTTCTCCTCCCTGTATTCGATGGATTTATCAGCCTTAATTTAAGGGATAATTAGTGAATAGTTCACATTTTGTTTTTCTTCAAATGGTAGAAATATTTTATTGATAAACCAAACAGTAGATGTAAGAATCAACACAAACTCACATGAAACTGCAAAGAAAAAGATAGCTAAAAAAGGAGATAAAACTCTCACGTTGAGTTGCCCTCGACACTCACTGCTTGACGATCAAGACAATGTGCCACACTCTATTTGCATCATGCTGAACAAAATTGAAAACACACTGACTAAAATTATTTTGAACGAACGGAATGTCAGAAACAATGCTACTGATCTACTCAATCGGTGTGCCATGCTCTAAAAGCTGTTGAACCAATTGTTGTGCATTCCTTTCAAGTACCACCTCGCGTAGACCCAACTCTGCGGGAAACAGAAGCCTCGCTTGAGCTGCATATGCTTCCATTAGTAATGGGTTAAAAGAAGCATGGACATTGTATGAGGAGGAAATATTCGTCACTCTCCATACTTTTTGGATCCAAGCTCTATATAGCTCCGAACAGAGTCGTTCAACCTAAGAACAAAACGACGATGAGCTACCCGGCTAGTGTGTGGCCAGAAAACCCCTTCAACGATCAAGTTAGCACACTTAAGAGAGAAAATGAATGTCAAGAGAAAGAGAGAGAGTTGATAGAATTCGCTTAGTCTTTCTGAGTGTAAGGTCGTGTGCCTTATCTAGGCTGCTGCCCTGCCTTCCAAGGTTGTGCGCACACTACTTCTGTCGTCCTCTTCGAGACGAGCGGTTGTATTGCCCTCTTTATTCCTTACACGTGTATGCGCTAATACCACCATACAACATTGGTCAAACCGCCAAACGGTATTGATGCGCATCCTTAGTGGATTCCTCTAATCACATTCCGATTGGGTCACGTGGTTATTCTTACCGAGTTATATACAGTTCGGTCTTACTTAGCTCTCCAGTTTTAACTCTCAGGGCCGAGCTAACTTTTGCTGGTCTATGTCTGAAACACTCAACCAACTCGGTACGCTACACTCGCTCTGTTGAGTTCTATTTCTTGGTCAAGGCAAATTTTGCTTGACCTCGGTGCACAACAGGTGCATCTAGCCCAGTCGAAAGCATCGTCACTTCGCCTAGATTAGCTCATGATCCAAGCCTAACAACTTTCCCGGTCTAACTTCCAGATCTCGGACTAGCTTAACTGCGTGATCCAAAACCTTGGTCCAAACTGCCCTAAGTTATGCCAGCTCGGTCGTGCAACCTGATGACACGATCCAAGCCCAAACTAGATCGGTCCATTTACTCGACGTAAACCTCCCTCTTAATTTCCCCTTAATCCCATTCGCTTCAGCGTGACCGGGATTGCATTATCTTACTGAGCTAAATCCCTAGACGTTTCATGTCTTCAGAGCGGTGCACTCACATACGTTATAACTTGGCCCTCCATTCTTTTAACCAATCTTGGTACGTCGGTGAATCAGACTTAAGACGCATTAGTACTCGAAGATCATCTTGTTTGGTAGGGCCCAACCAAGACCCTTGTTCAGCCAATCAACTTCTTTTACACTGCCCTCATGGTTATTTGATCAGTCTATTACAGCTCGGTGTGTCACAGTGTAGTAGCTCAGTTCTGGCTTCTTCATGTGCTATTTTCTACCAAACAAACATGTGGCCCCTTTGGGCTAGAGTTTGGAGTAGTTGTTTTTGCACTTTCTCTCTCAAAAAATTCAAATTTTGTGAACGCAACAATTGCTGCTTTTTCGTTAGTAAAAACAAGTTTTCACTAATTCATTACTTTTTGGCCAACTAAATTTGCTCGATAAGGTGCCTTTCTTCTTGGAGAGCTAAATCTGCTAGACAGGGCATCCTCCTTTGGCGAGCTAAATTCGCTTGACAAGAAGTCTTTCTTTTAGGCGAGCTAAATCTGCTCAGCAAGGCATCCTTCTATGGCGAGCAAAATCCGCTTCGGTAAGAATTTCAAAGTTGATAAAATTCATCAACTACCTTTTTGCCAAGCAAAACCCTTTTTGGCGAGGAATATCGAGTTATTGAGATCGACCCTGCAACTTCCCCTCTAGTTTGGGCTCCTACCTTAAACTTACAAAGGCAAAGTAGTGACCCAGACTAAATGGATTGCCCCTGGACCATGTCTATTACTTGGTTAGAATTCTCTTCGACTGAACAAATCATCAGTTTTTCGCCGAAATTTGGCGAGCAAAATCGACTTGGCAACTTCTTGGCAAGCAAAATCAGCTTAGCTCGGTGTGAAATTTCAACATTGGCAAGCAAAGTCAACTCGGTAACTTGTTTCTTGGCAAGCAAATTCAGCTCGACAACTTGTTTTTTGACGAGCAAATTCAGCTCGGCAAAACTTCTTGACAAGCAAAGTCAGCTCGGCAACTTACATCTCGGCGAGCAAAATCATCTAGGCAAGACATCTTGGCA